AAAAAAAAAAAAAAGCTCAAATACTACAGATAAAAAAAATAATGTAAACATCGAACATAGACCTTTTCACACATAAAATTGCTTCTTTGAACTGAATTCATAAATTACTTAATTGCTATGTCAGGAAGGAGCCTGTCTAGTGGGAAAAAGAGGCTATGGAAATTGTCACTTGAGTTAAAGAAAAGCGTATTTTGTGTCTAAATACTCTGGTCACTGTGCAGACCCTTCCACCACAGAGGAAGAAAGGAAAGAGCAAACCACAATTAAAATTCAATGTGACATGAACAGTGATAAAAAAGCATACAGGGGCCAAGTGAGGTGGCTCACACCTGTAATCTCGACAATTTGGGAGGCCCAGGCGGTAGGATCTCTTGAGGCTAGGAGTTTGAGACCAGCCTGGACAATAGAATGAGACCTCATCTCTACACAAAAAATATAAAATTAGCCAGGCATTGTGGTGTATGCTTGTGGTCCTAGCTACTTGGGAGGCTGTGGTGGGAGGACTGTTTAAGCCCAGGAGTTTGAGGCTGCAGTGAGCTTTAACTGTTCCACTGTACTCCAGCCTAGGCAACTGAGCAAGACCCTGTCTCTAAGAAAAATTCCTTCTAAAAAAGGCGTAGAAGGTACCGTAATACTGAAAACAAGATGAAGAATTCTGCAGATGACAGAGCTGGAGTCATCATCAGGGAAGACTTTAGAGGGGAGATGAAACCTGATCAAGGGAGGCAAATATTCCCAAAGAACCCAGAGGGCTCTATGCTGAGTGGGAGGGATAAGAAGGGACATGGGCTTAGCATAACTTGTCATCCTTTGAAACAACCTGGGAAATTAATTTCAAGAACATGCACCTGCTTCCATCTTTAGACTTCCCAGCAAGACTCTTCTTCTGTATTTCAATATTCCTCTAAAAAAGTACCTTCCCGGCTGGGTGCAGCGGCTCACGCCTGTAATCCCAGCACGTTGGGAGGCCAAGGTAGACAGATCACCTGAAGTCCGGAGTTTAAGACCAGCCTGGCCAACATGGTGAAACGCCGTGTCTACTAAAAAAAATACAAAAATTAGCTGAGCATGGTGGTGGGGACCTATAATCCCAGCTACTCAGGAGGCTGAGGCAAGAGAATCACTTGAACCCAGGAGGTTGGAGTGAGCTGCGACCACGCCATTGCACTCCAGCCTGGGCAACAAGAGCAAAACTCATCTTAAAAAAAAAGCACCTTCTCTCAGGGAATACTGGGTTACACCCCAGGCCAGTTGAGCTGTGACTTTCAGCAGCAAATTTTCCTGGGAAAGGGAATGCATTCAGAGGTAGATGTCTAGGAATGTGACAAAACATTTTAGATATTTCTAGACATGGTAAAAACAAAAACAAAAAACCTCCTATGTAAATTCTTAGCGACGCAAAAAAGAAACCCCTGCCCCCTCTACTCAGTCAAATCAAGCAGAAACAAGAGAAAGAAAAAGCATCACAATAATACAGTTGAAAGTTGCCTCAGTCACTGCAGGCACAGGGAAGTTATATGCAGAGGCTATATGCCTTCCATTCTGTACACCTGGAAGTAGCTTAAGGACAGCCCCTCACCCAGGTTTGTTGATTTCAGTTCATATGGAGCTAATATCAACCTACCAAACAGGAGTCTCAGTCATCTACCTGGCCTTGGCTGTTAGCTCCAAGAGGGAAGCCAGCAGCACTAGCATGAACCCCCAGCCCAATAGTTCTTGGCTTTTTTGCCTCCTTTCAGGCCGGTCACATGTACCACTCTGTCATCAAACACAGCGATTCTCTATGCCCGAAGCAATACGGTATCCTCCTCGCATTGAGAACACCTGCCCTGATGCACAGGAATGCAACAGAAAACTGAATGCTGGGCAACTAAAGAGAGAGACAAAGTGGAAAAACCCTGACACACAAAACCCAGCAAACCTCAAACACCAGTCTCTTAGATCTCACCTCCAGTCTCCTAAATCACCATGCCCGTTTTACTCTCTCTGAGCTGATCAAAAAGAAATCAGTTCCTTTGTTTGTGTTCAAAAACAAATGTTGGTTCTCCCGTAAGAAACAGCCCCTACTTCTGGGTAGTTACCACAGAAAGGTGGAGTCACACTGGGCCAGACAGGCCTGGAATGGGCAGGGCAGGGCAGTTTTCCAGCTTGTTTACACATTGAGGGACCCACCTCTAGGGGAGCAAAAGCCACCAGATCTGTGTAGCAGGAGTCCATCAGGCACTCCCAGATGGAAGATAACGCCATCTGGTGGAGACAACAGAGCATCACTAGATTTCCAGGGGAGAACTCTCTGGTGGAGACAACAGACATCACTGGAAACCCAAAGCCAATCTTCTGTCAGAAAGAGCTTAAACCCCTGGTGTGGTGGCAAGAATACCCTGGTACTCCAATTCAGCCTATTAATTCTGGGAAAGAAGGGTCTCAGCTGATTTGCTCACATATTAAATTCATAAATTAACAATGTGTCTTAATGACACTCGAATTAATGGATGTGGTATCCCTAGCCAAATTGAAATTTATAATTACTTTTACAAATTTAGTTAAAGCTTGCTGTGGCTTTTCTCTAAGGACATTTAAATTCTGTGATTCAACATCATCTTATGATTGGGGCACACTTGTTTCTGTCAGACAAGGCTGTGTTGATGGAACTTCAATAAAGCTGATAAGAGAGGTGACTTTGGGAAAGCTATTAACTTGGTCAAGCCCAGTGGCTCACACATGTAATCCCAGCATTTTGGGAGGCCAAGGCAGGCAGCTCATGAGCCCAGGAGTTCAAGACCAGCCTGGGTAACATGGTGAAACCTCATCTCTACGAAAAGCTAAAAATTTGCTGGGTGCAGTGGCGTCCACCTGTAGTCCCAGCTACTTAGGAGGTGAAGGCAGGAGAATCGCTTGAGCCTGGGAGATAGAGGTTGCAGTGAGCCGAGATCGTACCATTGCATTCCAGTCTGGGTGATGGGAGTGAAACCCTGTCTTCAAAAAAAAAAAAAAATTGTTATTCAACAAATATTTCTTGACTATAACATACCAGGCACAGTTCTAGGCTCTGGATTCATAAATAAAAAGATCCCTGCTCTCATGGAGCTTACAAACTAGTGAGGATGGGAGCAGATGAGAAGCAAGTAAAAATGTTAACAAGATGAGGTCAGAGTGAACATAATTTTAAAAGGTACTGGAGAGGAAAAAGGAAGGGTTGGGAGATAGAGTGATCAGAGGTCTCTTTAAGGTGATTATTTGAGATCCAAAGAGGAGTGAATCCTTCATGATGAAATCGGTTTTAAAAACACCCACTTCAGAACATATATCCAGGTAAATCTTTTTCAAAACTCCTGGAACTCCTCTGGTTTTTGCCTTCAGAGCCAATATATGAACCCCATTAACAAAAGGAGGTTTGGCCAGATGTGATGACTCAGGCCTGTAATCCCAGCACTTTGGGAGGCCAAGGTAGGCTAATTGCTTGAGTTCGGGAGTTTGAGACCAGCCTGGGCAACATAGTGAGACCCTGTGTCTACAAAAAAAAAAAGAAAGAAAATAAAGTACAAAAATTGGGCAGGCAAAGTGGTGCACGCCTTGGTCCCAGCTGCTTGAGAGGCTGAGGTGAGGATTGTCTGTACCTGGGATGTCGAGGTTGCAGTGCGCTGTGACCATGCCACTGCACTCCAGAGCCGGGGTGACAGTGAGACCCTGTCCCAAAAAAAAGAAAGAAAGAAAGAAAAGGAAAAAGAAGGTTTAATTCAAAGCAGCATTATTCAGCTTTACTATCACCTCTTTCTTTGACCCTGAACATCCTTGGGATGTTTCTGAAAGTTAACCCATCTTTTTTTTTTTTTCAACTTTTTTGAGACAGGGTCTCACTTTGTCACCCAGGCTGCAGTGCAGTGGTTCAGTCATAGCTATCACCTCAGCCTCCCAAGTAGCTGGGACTACAGGTATGCACCACCATGCCCAGCTAATTTTTTTTTTTTTTTTTTTTTTGTAAAGATGGTTTTGCCATGTTGCCCACACTGGTCTTGAACTCCTGGGCTCAAGAGATCCTCCCGTGTTAGCCTCCCAAAGTGCTGGGATTACAGGCATGAGCCACTGCCCCTGGCCAATCCAGTCTTCATATAAATGTTTCCCAATATTTTAGTGGGAAAATGTGCAATGAGCTCTGGTAGAAAGTCAAAAACTTTGTGAGGTCCTTTCTTCTATCTCTGGCAATTGTCCTCTTCTTTTGCTATTAAGTTCTTCATCCTTCTTTGTAAGGAACTATAAAACAGTAGTGAAAATAAAATATTCAGCAAATAAAGGCAAGAGGAAATGGAAAAAGGACATTACTGAGTAAAAGATTAAAAGAACAAACCCGAAAAACTGTTCCGAAGTTGCTTCCCTTGTGGTTGAGCTTTCCAGGCCTTGCAGCTCTCAGGCTCATTAGATCTCTAGGGTATCCTCCCCCTGGGTCAAGCCACCTACTTTCCACAAACCTAGTTTCCCCTGTCTTTCCCTGATGAGATTAAGGAGGCTACCAGTGGTGAAACACTGATGTAACTCAAATTGCTTACATAGTAATACATAACCCTGCTCTCAACCGCCTTCTCCATTCCATGTGTAGAATGAGTTTGTTCTCTAAATTCTGATGTCAAACCTGCCGTGGAAACATATTGGTTTAAAGCATCATAGGTCCTGCTTGATGATCCTCAAAGTCAGCAGGGTTAAAAGAGATTGATGTATCCTCTTTACCATACTGCTAGTTACAGATCTTGGTATCACGATGCCTTTGTATTTTAAAGTCACAGCTGACCAACAGAGACTTAAGTCTCGCTGGAGCACATCCAGGAAGGAAAAAATTGATGTTTTGTGTTGATCCCAAAACATTCAACTAAGTTCATAAGGAAAGATTTCAAATAGCCAACATATATATAATTAAATAACTCTCAAAACCTCTTTTTACAGATAAAAAGAAATTAAATCTGTCAGCTCAGAAAGGCAATTCCTGGGAAGCATTATTTTTTAATGTGCCAAAAATGTCTTTGTATATCTCTGTATTATACCCTTTTATAAATAACATGCATTGTTATGAGAAAAAGTGAAGATTTCCCATTTTTATTTTAAAAAGGTACAGAGAATAGCGCCAGGGCAGAGTAGAGTCTGAGGCGGAGGGAGTGGTGGCAGGACAGGCGTTTAGAAAGTTTCTCCCACTCTTTGACCGAGTATTGATTGAAAGGAGCGCTGCTGAAACTGTAACCAGAGGGGGCATTATGTTTCCAGAAAAATCTCAAGGAAAAGTTTTGCAAGCAACAGTAGTCGCTGTTGGATCGGGTTCTAAAGGAAAGGATGGAGAGATTCAACCAGTTAGCGTGAAAGTTGGAGATAAAGTTCTTTTCCCAGAAGATGGAGGCACCAAAGTAGTTCTAGATGACAAGGATTACTTCCTATTTAGAGATGGTGACATTCTTGGAAAGTACGTAGACTGAAATAAGTCACTATTGAAATGGCATCAACGTGAAGCTGCCCATTCCACTGAAGTTCTGAAATCTTTCATCATGTAAATAATTTCCATATCTCTTTTATAATAAACTGATGATAACTGACAAAAAAAAAAAAGGTACAGAGAATAGAGTCCAAATGAACTCTCCAAATGAGAATATGACAGAGAACACCAAATTCCCAAATCTGAGTAACTATCAAAATTTCTGAGGTCCCAGCCTGGGCAACATGGCAAAACCCCATCTCTACAAAAAACAGAAAAATTAGCCGAGTGTGGTGGTGTGCATCTGTAGTCCCAGCTACTCAAAAGGCTGAGGTGGGAAAATCGCTTGAACCTGGGAGGTTGAGGCTGTTGAGGCTGCAGTGAGCCAAGATCGCACCACTGCACTACAGCCTAGAGGACAAAGCAAGACCCTGTCTCCAAAAAAATTAAAAAAAAAAAAAAAATTCTGAGGTCAGTAATTAAATATTTGCTTTTAACTTTCTACTGAAGTAGAAAAGAAAAACAACACAGTTTCTACAAAATATCAGGATACTCCTCTCTTCCTTTCTCCACCATCGTGGTGTGTGCTTTACTCTGTTTCTTGCCATGTCTTCTCACAAGACTTTCAGGATTAAGGGATTCCTGGCCAAGAAACAAAAGCAAAATCGTCCCATTCCCCAGTGGATTTGGATGGAAACTGGTAATAAAATCAGGTACAACTCCAAAAGGAGACACTGGAGAAGAACCAAGCTTGGTCTGTAAGAAATTACACATGCGATGGCACACATATTTATGCTGTCTGAAGGTCACAATCGTGTTACCAAATCAAGCTGAAAAATGTCACCGCTATCTGGAGAAGTTTGAACAGTCTCCTTTCTGTAACTGTTATGAAGGCATTAGTTAGTACAACCCACAGTGCTTCCATTATTCATGTTAAAAAAA